ATAACATATTCGAATTTCGAAGGTAAAAATATTTATAAAAATATCATTTTCTTAGATTTTTTTTTATTGCAACTTTTGTAGAATTATCAACTTTTGCTTAAACGTGCGTTCTCGCTATGGAGGTTGCTGCTTTTTAGTTCATTGAGAATGTTTTCTTACTATAGGGGTTGAGATACAGCTACTTCATTTTGAACGCTTTCTTACTAAGGGGGTTACAACTTTTTACTGTAATTTTTATTGAGAATGCGCTCTTACTACACTTATTAATGGTAACTGAATGACACATAAAATTGACTTTTTGTACAACAAAAATATGCTAAATAAGCGAATCGATGTATAACTCAGTGAATAAATAAAACAAGATGCCAATGAAGTAGCAAATCAATATAGCAGGATAATATAAATCAATAAATAAGGAAACCAATAAATCAACAAACAAGTGAATCAATGTGTTAAAGAATAAATCAGTGAACTAAAGCTCTGAGAATTATCGGATCAACAAATAAATTATATAATGAATTAATATATAAAACCAATGAATGATAGTATCAATGAATCAGAGAATCAATAAATCAAGGAGTCAACGAATCGATGGTGCATAAATTCAACGTAACAGTTCGATTGAGTCACTGATTTTTTCATGATTCACTTATTTTATATTTTATTTTATAACCGTCATTGAACAACCGATCCCATTTTTTGGTTTTACGACTGCTAATATACAACTCTGTAGTCTTGTAATTTTGAACCCAATCCAGAAGACAAGGGAACTCCTGGATCAAGTTTTAAAAGAAAATAGCCTTCGTGGGGGACTTTTTGATGGAACTAACTCACATTTGTGTTACATGGAGAGGTAAACCACGAAAACCTTCCACCGTTAGCCCGACGGCAAGGGGACTCTAACCCATGATCCGTCCACCACTGAGGCTATATTGCGTCAGCACTGTGGTCAGGGCGAGACGGGTACGGAATTCGTATCGCTGAGATTCGAACCCGGTTCACCTCATTGGAAGGCGAACGCTCTATCCCCTGAGCCACCACGACTCTTAATTTACTAATTAATTTATTTATTTCAGTCAATCCACAGATTTGTTATTTCGCTATTTCCTAGATTTAATGACTGATTCCTTAATTCATTTGTCCACTCAAATTTACTAGTTTGATACGTTGAAGTCCTCATTTATATTTTCGCTTAATTCATCAATTCGCTCATTTTTTAATTTATCTATAGATTGATATGCTCATTCATTTATCTGGAGATTTATTGATTTCCTCATTTGCACTTGGAGTAAAATTCGGTTACTTTCCGTTATAAGTGTAATAGATGCGTACTATGCATTACGGAGAATAACATAAGATGAAATTTTACTCGGGGTTTTTCTTAAGAGTTTCTTCCTAGTAAGAAAGCGGAGTGACTAAGAACTCGAAATTGAGGCAACTAAATATTTCACTTTTTAAAAACTGAGTTACAGTGAGTTTAACAGTGATAGATTAGTAAACTCAGTTTAGAAACTAAGCTATTTATGGTAACATATAAATACTGAGTTAAACACAAGTTAACTTTTAAGACAGGTTAAAAATCGATATATGATAGTTTAATTCAACTATTTGGAAATTCCCTTGAATATTTTTAAGTGTTGGTCTTTATTCGAGGAGACTAAAAATCACTTCTGAGCAGTGTCCAACAAATAACAATTTCTTCCTTCTTTATGAGGCATTTCAAAGATTTTAACCCTTCGCCCCTATTTAATAGCAGGAGGTTTTTCCGCATTAGCTTTCCAATATATGTCCATAAAAACCTATTAATAAGATTTGCGTTTTTTTCTCCACATATCGATTACCTTTTTTATGGTCTGTATATCAACTTTATTGCAGTTAGAAGCGAAAAATAATAAAACAAATTGATCATCTTCGTTCGAGGTCGGATGAACTCTTGAACGAAAAAAAAAAAAAGAACTTTATTGAACCCTGTTGAAAACTAAAGCCATATATCAGAGAAAAAGAAAAAAGTTTAATCTTGATATAAAAATTCACCAATGAAAATGCGTAAGAGATTCTTCTAAACTTATCTCCAAGACTTTTGTTTTCCATGCGAGTTTAATTTTTATGTAATTTTTCCCATTCGCATAAAATTAAAATCTAAGTATGTATAATGTTTAGAATTTTGATGCCTTTTAAAGCATAATAAAATCTTTATTGGAACTTATAGGACAGTGGTTAAATTTCCAGTATTGGTTATCAACCAATACTGGTTAAATTTCCAGTATTGGTTATCAACCTATCAGTGCTTATCAACCCTCGGGCCGGATGCCGCCCGAGGGGCCGCATCCGGCCAACGAAGCCTTTTTTTTGTGGCCTGCGAACTAAAAGATATTAGTTGTCATTTTTTTGGGAACAATTTTCGTAAAAAATCTATATGGGTTTAAAATGCTTTTCTCGTTTAAAAAAAAAAACATAATTTCTTTGTTTCTGTGAAATTTAATATACCAACTATACAAAAAAAAATATTTCTCAGGTTTTACATCCAAGAAAATATTTATTCAAATGCAAAAATAATAGTGTATGTTACTGTTTTTTTTTTTTTTTAATTATTTTGTGAATATAATTTAGCATGTGCGTATCAGAAATTTTCTGGAGAAAATTCTTCGATTTAACTTCTTGAAATCACTCATTTTAGACGAAATTATTTACATTTGTAAATTTTAAATTCAAAATGTAAATATCTATTAATTTAAAATGTAAATATCTATTCTCTGGTGGCTGCAAGCAGACAAACCTCAATTCTCTCATTGAACATTTTGTATGCTACTATGTAAGTTTTAATGCCAACCTTTTTAAAGTTTTATATATTAGCAATTAGATATCTGTTGAACATTAATTGTTTAATACATAGGTACACATTAAACTTATTGTAACCAGAATTTTTTAATATGCAATTAAATATTTTTAAAAAGCTACTTCTTATTTTAATTTGCAATTCAATACTTTTGTTTTGTACAACTTGATAAGAATCTGACAGTAGTATTTAATGTTCCTTCAAACATAAAAGAGTCCTATATAAAATTTCGATAAAGTTGCTGTCTGTCTTTTTGACTGGTGTTTTTAATTGTGGTGGAAGTTGGAAGTTGAAAACCCCCCATGTAAGTTGGAAACCCCTGTTATAGGATATAAGGACCATTAAGTCAAATTCGCCAATGCGTAAGAACAACTCCAGATTCTGTTTCACATAGGTCGCAGAGCACCTATAATATGCAATCTGATACGAAAATATCTTGGTCATTATTGATAACTATAATTATCGAATACTGTAATATCGCGATTATTATGGATAAAATAATAAATCAAAGAGGTACTATCACCAATATTATACATAACGATAATTATTGAATAATTGTGGTAGTTGATAAACTATATTTGAGTAACGAATATATTGAATAATATAAAAACTATATAAGTTACTTAAATTAGAAAACATCGCGATACTTTGTTATTGAAACTTATCGCTTATACGGACCAATGTTCGTGTTGGCAACCATTCGGAAAGGCAATCGTAAACACATGGTCCTTATCACCGATAAGTTCCACCTTATTTATAAACTGACTTTTTCAGTTCGTTTAATTTTGTATGTGTTATTATCAGTGTCAGAAATGCCAGCATTCTCTAGAATGCCTAGTCATTGTATAGAATATATGGCATTTTTAGATAAGGTATGAAGTATATAAAAATTTTTATTATGTTTAACACTAATACGTATGTATGTTGAAAAAAACGATGAAATTGCTTTATGGCGTTAGCAACAAGAATTGGAAACTAAAATATCAAGCGAGTGAGCAGTGATAAGCATGGAAAGCAAAACAAATACAATGTTATTTAGTGAAGTAGTAAGCCATGTCCTTCTAAGACGATATCCAGCAAGTCATTATTTAAATTAGTTTAATTCCTGTTGTATCTTCGAGCTGATTCAAAAATTATTCGTGTATATGTAGATATTATTCCGTTTCGAGCGGTCGTTCAAAAAACCTCGAAAGGTATAATTAATTATAGTAATAGATACTACAGCTTTTGGAGTGGTCGATATCTAATGTACTATAGATATTATGGTAATAGATTTTTACGATCCGCGAAAATGGAATAATGCAGAAATGTCAAATCAATCAAAAGTTTCACAAGATGCATATATTCCTTATTTTTCGAACGTTATTTTAAAAAGAATATTAACGTACATGCTAAACATAGACTAAACATAGAAAAAATCCGAACAGCGAGCGTAGTGAGCTCGAGTTGGGAAACAATCCGAAAAAACTACGGAGCAATCCGTCGAACACAGAAGTGGATGGGCCCCATATACTTTGCTTTTGAATGCCTAAACATTTCATAGAATGAAAAAGCTCTAAAGGCAAAGTTTGAAATATACAAATTGTTATGATAAATGGAACAGAACATAAATTGTTCAACTTGTGTTTTCTGAAGCTACTTTTTTTTAATGGCAGTTACTGAACTTTCATTCCTCACCTCGGAAGATGCCGGAAGTGTTGCTCATTTAATGTTACCCAGTGGGCACCTGTGAACCTAAGTCACGAGAGCGAGTAATTTTACCCACGCCACAATGCCACAAATACCCGTTCATAGGGTAGGCCACATTCACACATCACACACAACAGAGGACAACACATAGAAAGAAACATCCATGCCCAGAGCGGGATTCAATCCCGTAGCCATTGGCTTCGCAATAAGGCACGCTAACCGCTCGGCCACCTGGCCGGCTTTCTAAAATTACTAAATTTGTTAAGTTTTATTGTAGAATAAAATATTGTATCTTGTATGGTAAATTTATTTTTAAATCTTAACATAGCTGAATGTGCTTTTCTAGGTCTTTACAAGATCAAATTCACTTGAACATATCGAGTCAGCCGTTACCCATATTCGACATCTACAATCTAGTACCATACACTGGATACCAAATCCACCATGTGACAGTGACTGAAGCTCCTCGGCGTTGGCGGCGTATCGGCAACGTGACCGGTGGCCGAGTATCTTTGAATGCTGTCCTCTGGCTCGGTAAGAAGAATGTTGGTCCACCAAAGCTCAGTTGGAAAAGATTCCGTGTAGTTACAGCTGTAGCACCCCCCTTTGTAATGCTAACAACAAGAATCTACAATGATTCCTGCCTAGTTGGACTGCCATGTTTACAAGTAAGGCCTGAAATATACTATTTTTAATATTATTCTGAATTGTCTGCAACGGATTAGTATCGAGCGCAATACGGCAATCAATACTGAGTAATTTCCTTTTTAAAGAGCCAATCTGGAAATTCTATTTGTAATTGAGAAGTTCGATATTGAACATTAATGGGTTCATGGTGTTATATTTACTCAATCACGGATTCTCTGCGACTTTTACTTAACTATTTCTCTCACGTCTACCACCAGTTATAAGGCAGAAACTCTAATAACCAATTTAGTCGACGTTGCAAGTGGTTTCATGGAGTAGCGTATACTTATTTTCATCGTGTCAGTTACTAAATATCTAGACATCAATTTTATGAATCATGTCGTTCGGAAATTATAAGGGGGTGTAATGGGCAGTTGTAAAAGAGTTTAGAATATAAATAATGAGTTACAATACGTATTTGGATCAATACAATACGGATACGTACCGATGTCATTGCCGTAAAAGTTCTCTAGCTCACCAGTAAAATGGAGTCTTCTTATATACACATCAACAGAGGTGGTGTGTACGATCATTGGATCTGTCAAAATACAAGGGTGAGAGGGGATGCAGCCAGGACTCAAAAAGATACAATGGTGAGTCATTTTCACTCAGGAAACAGAACTGTGTAACAGCTTACCGCTGGGACTGCTGAGTATTGCTGAAAGGACTAGAAAACTTATGAAAGTTGGTAGAAAACTGTACGAGGAGTACGATGGTTAAAAAAGTTTAACATTCGTTAATTCGAGAATTATTAATTGTTGCTTGTAGTAAAAAATGCCATACGGGCCACTCTACAGATCACAAAAATATATTTACGAGATTGAAATTTGACGTGTTGAAAGGGTCATTTTTGTTTGAGCTTAATGGGAGGGTTTTTTCGAAATTCTAATTTGTTCGAAAGTAATGGCAATTTTGGAAAGGTTTTTTCTCAATTTTTTTTTAATTTTTTGTTTTAAATTTTAAATAATGACTATTTATCTATTTTTGTAGATCTTCATATTTAAAGCTCAAGCTTGACTTCAAAATCAGCAAGCAATTAAAAAAATATAAAACGGAGTTTCCTAAATCGTACCACTTTTGATTTCTGAATATGCATCATACAGAGAACATCTAGCTGATAAATTATAAAAAACAATTTACTAGAAGATCCATACAGAAAAATCAAGTCGCTGTGTACTTGCATTAAGATTTTATATAAGTTAATCGATTTTCCAAGTTTTTAATGTAATTTTTGAACATTCTGTGTAAGGATATAAGCTACAGTAATCTATGGATTATTAAATATAGCATATAATTGTTAAGCAACTTATTCTGCTAAGTTTTACTTGATTCTTTGCTAGCTCGCTGCTCTTTGATGATTGGAACAACACTTTGTTTAAAACAAACGTTGCGTAGTTGCCAATCCTAAATCGTACTAGTATGATTTCGGAGCAACATATTAACTTCAACTACTGAACAGATTGAATTTCAAGTACTGTACTTCAACGAAGCTTTCTAAAATAGGCTCTGAACGATTTCACTAATTATCAAAATCTTCTGCTCGTGAGTGAGTCTTATAATAAGATTGAAGTTGAGGCCGTTTTAAGTGATTTAACTGTTCTCGTGCATTAATCCTTGACAGCAAAAAACCCCCATTCTATACGTGAAATCAATCTGAAAGAAACGAAATTATTTGAGTAAATTTAATAAGATTTAATATCCTTAAGATGTGATTTAAACTTTCTCATTCCAAGAAAGAAAATCTAAGAGATGAGCCATCTAGTTAGTCAAGTAGTGATTTAGTAATTACTGGATTGATTGACAGACCTGTCTCACTATGTTAAAGGCTTCAATCAAACCAATTTCTTTATTTCTAAAAATTAAAAACAGAAGAATATGTTATAAATGCCACAAAGAAGCAGTCTTAAAATAGCAGTACATATAAAAATCACACTTGAACTTTGTAGCACGTAAGATCATGTTTCTTTAACATTTTATAGCCTTATAATACTGTTCTATACATGTAACTGTCAAATTTATTATCTTGCTATTAAACAATTGTTTTGGGTTACACCTGGTCTTCTCATTCACTTAATCATAAATACTCAATATTTTTTAGAGTAATACGTTTTAAGGACCAGGCGGTATGAATTAGTCAACTAGTTTCCTATACCACTTGCAAACTTTTCTAAAACAATTAATTTTCAGTAAATACTGCAGAATATTATTACCAAAAAATTACAAAAATAACTGAATGACTGTATTTAGTTAGTGAAATATTTTAAATGTAATTATCAGTGATCTGTGACTAATAAAAGTTTAAACGAGAAAAGTGATATGATTTAGGCAACTCTCCTCTAATAAAAAAAATATAAAAGAAGGAGAGATTAGACGTTATCAGATAGATATAAATCTCAAGATTCATATTAAAAATTTTAAAATATAAAAGACTCGAGAGAGTTAAAAATTATTTCCGATTTGAACCATTATAAATATAATATATGGTTATAATTATGTATTATTAACTAGTAGAATTACTTCTCATTTATTACAATCCATTATGCAGCCCATTCTGTATTCCTATGTTGAAATACTTTTTTTTCAAGTAGAGCTGATTTTTTTAACAAATACAGACCATGATTCCTATCGAGTGACGATTAACATGTTAAAAAAATGATATCACAGAAAATTATGATAATTATATGTTTTATAAACAAAACGGTCTTTTTATTTTAAAAAAAATATCCATATCATTATTGATATTATTATCAATATCAATATCATTATCAACATCATTATCAATATCATTATCAGTATCATTATCAATATCATTATCATTATCAATATCATTATCAATATCATTATCAATATCATTATCAATATCATTATCAATATCAAAAATATCAACATGAAGAAACAAACAATGATGAATGAAAAACAACCACGGGGTCGATGAGCAGGGGTGGAGACTCCTAGTCTTTTAAATAAAGGCATTCAATGATAAATAAAAATATACTTTAAGAAGTATATTTTTAGTCATCATTGAATGTATGTAAGTATACTTTTCAGTTACGAAGTTTAATTATGAATAAAACTTACGCCTATATTTTCAAATTAAAGCATTCAATGACACGTGATAATTACACGTTTACTTAAGACATTCAATGATGCTTTATAAAAAATAATTGCAGGTGAAGACGAAAGTGAAAGCAGAACTGTCCCGTATTTTCTCGGATTATCGTGCTGGTCGACTTCTGGAGTACATTGATTACAACATTACATGCTGTGCTGGAATTTCCATAGATCTTCTGATATCCCTCTCCGAAGACCTCGGCTTCACCTTCGATCTCTATCTCGTAGCAGACGGTTTCTTCGGCACACGAAGAGGAAATCGCTGGAACGGTAAATTATTTCTTCTTTTTTTCCATTTAGAGCTTTCGCCTTCCAATGAGGTGAACCGAGTTCGATTCCCAGCAATGGCTGGTTGATATGTATTCAGCATCCAGCTTGCACTGACCACAGTGCTGACGTGAAATATCCTCAGTGGTAGACGGATCATGGGTTAGAGTCCCCTTGCCGACAGAGGTTTCCAACTTGCATGAGGCCGGGGGCCGCAATTAAAAACACCAGTCAAATGGCGGGCCGCAACTTTATCAAAATTTTATATAGGACTCTTTTTTTGTTTGAAGGAACATTAATTATTACTGTCAGATTTTTAACAAGTTGTACAAAACCAAAGTATTGAATTACAAATTAAAATTAGAAGTAGATTTTTACCTGAAAATGTTAAATTTCACAGAAATGAAAAAATTAGGATTTTTTTTAGCGAAGAAACGTACTTTTAGCCCATGTAGTTTTTTACGAAAATTGTTCACAAAAAAATTTCAAGTAATATATTTTAGTTCGCTGATCACAAGCCTTCGCGGGCCGCCAGTTGGTAACCACTGGGTTTACCGTTCTCGTGAGTTCTTCATGGTCTTCCACTCAATGTAACACAAATGCAGGCTAGTTCCATCAAAAAGTCCTCCACAAAGGCAAATTTCTCCCATTATTTGATCTAGGGGTTCCCTTGTCTTCTGGATTGGAGTTCAAAATTACAAGGCTACGTAGTTGAACGTTAGTAGTCTTAAACCCGAAAATTGGGTCGGCTCTGTTCAACGACGGTTATAAAAATAGCGATGTCTCATGTAGCCAGTTAAGCTCTTCAGGTTGGATCTTGACTTTTAAAAAGTTAAGCCATAGCTCTACTAGCCTACACTTTCTATCTTGTAATATAGTATCGATACTTCATAATCTTCGCAGGTTAGATGATCGCCTTTGAAAAGTCGGCTTGGACTTATCTATAGTAGGTTATACTATGTATATCTTGTAACAGTATTGATACTTCAGTGAGTCACCTAACCTTCTCGGGTCAGATTATCATCTTTGAAGTGATGACTTCGCATCCCTCTACTAGCTTTTGTATTGACATTGAAAAATTCAGCTCTTTACAAATGTCGCAGGTATTTTGTAATGCCCCAAGCTGGAAAAGTCTTCAATATTTTCTAGTTTATCTTATACATTTTAGGCTTATTAAAGTTAGCCTATATGCATTAGGACTATTAAGAAAATGAGCGAAGAATTACCTCATCAGACTGATACCTGAATAAGGCTATTTATAATAAGCCCTCACAAATTCTTATTGGAAGCTGTCTGAAATAAATCAGGCTAACAGAGAAATATACTAACTTAATTTTATTAAAGCTTAATATAGGTTGCAGGGGTGGCAAACCTTTATACACCAACGTACCATTTTTTCTAAAAAAAAAATTTTAATGAGGTCATAGACGTGCCGTCAAATAATTTTGACTTCGTGATGCGTGATTGTACGTGATACGTATCACGATTATACGCGTAATTAAACTTAAAGTAACATCAGTGTGACTTCTGTTGTTGCAGATTGGATGACAAATAACTTATGTTAGGTAGTAAGATGTTAGTTTAAGCAGGACTATTAAAAAAAAAACTTTTTGCTAGTTGTTTATTGTGGCTTGTTTTTTATGGTTATTAATTGTTTTTTTAGAATTAATTGTTAATTTTTTTATTAATAATTGTTTATTATTTTGTTTGTTTTTTGTGAATTTTAATTTAATTGTTACATATTTTTCATAGTGTAATAACATTTGTGTGATAATAATTCATAGTGTAATAGCAATTGTGATCAGTGGCGTGCCGAAAATATTGTGTAGCGTGCCATAAATGGCACGCGTGCCATTGGTTCGCCAACCCTGGCCTAAAGTATGCTGGTGCGCAGTGCAATAAGTCTAAACAATGTCGGGCTGATTAGAAAGAACTATAGACTTTTACAATTAGCTTGGCACATTTGAAAATGTTAGCAAAGAGCCAAGTTGTTCCATGAGTCAATGGCTTATACATAGTGCCTGTACTTCATAAAGCCGCCTAAACTTCTCAAATTAAATTATTTCTTATGAGGAGTAGACGAAACCATGCCTCTATTAGCCCAGTTTGATCACAATAATCGTGATTTTTCATAAAACTGTCTTTATGTTGGACAGGGCTTAACTTATAACTATCTTGACTATTACGTATCGTGCTGTAACAATATCTAAAAATGGGTGGATTTAAAGCAAGGCTGTTTCCTCATCGTAAATAACGCCCCCATTGTAAACAACCATAAGAGTGCGAATTACCATTCGAAAAATTAAAAAGTATGTTTATGTGTGGCGCTAATTATTTATATAAATCTCAATCCGGTTCGCATTTTTTATGAAAACCTCAAACTTCTTCAAAAATTCATAAAATTTCTTTTAAAAAAATATTAATATTCAAAATGTTATCAAATATAAATATTTTGTCATAAACACCTGAAGTTTTTAGCCCATAATCGTATATATATAATTCTCTTACGTGGCTCCCAAATTTTGGCTGCATTTCTTTTCCGCTGGTGGCAACAGTTTTCATTTTTAAAGAAGTACTTTGTACAACTAAATAAGATTCTTTTCACAACACTTAAATATTTACTTTATTTTCTTCATTCATAGAGAAAACAGTCGGCAAAGAATTCTGTTAGGTTAAAAAACATTTCGCTAAAAAAATAACGAATTCTAAAAGAAATAAAAATAAACAACTTAAAAAATAAAAATGCTGTTGCCAGCCATAGAATTTTTTGAAAGTTAACTTAGCAACATAAATCAAAATGACATAGAAGCGCAACTAGATCAAAATTATGATACCTGAGCGCTTGACGTAACAAATCCTTCAATTCTAAAAGTGTTGTATCGCCAAATGCCCAAATTAACAATTGTGTTCTTAAAGAAATTCTATAAAAAGTTTTAAATAAACAACCTACTTCTACAACTGCTTCTTGAAGAACTTGGCTCATTGATTAAAAATATTGTTTTAATTTTACAGTACTAACTTTACTTCTACTTTCATTATTGCTATGACCCTCTTTCATTACATTTTACAACTTCATGCTAAATTTGAGGACTTTAAGTTGTTTTGTGGTTGAATACTGACATTTAGAAATGTGTACATAAAAAAAATAATATTTAGAGGTTAAGAGTTGCCTCAGAAAAATTTGAATTGTTGACATTGAACTTAACAATGGAAACAATCGTTTTTGTGAAAAATTGAATTGTATTGTTGACATCAAAACTAAAAATATTGTGTTTCAACTTAACAATACTACCTTAATTTATACTTTAGAATTGCCTCGGAGAAATTTGAATTGTTAGCAATGACTTAAACAAAAAGTTTTATTTTAACTGACAAATACTATATTATAATTTTAACTTTTTCTATGACTATACTCATTTTCTTACTCTTTTCTTTGTTTTTTATACATTTTATATTTTTGTGATAAAATAAAAAACTTATAGTTGTTCTGCTTCTGAACACTGATGAAAACACAAAATGATGGGCTTCATCAACAATCAAAAATATATACATTTATTTTACAAATTCCATATTATTAGGGTGGCGCCCTTCAGAGAATTAAAAATACAAAATTATCTTCATCGAAGCCGATGCTTTACATCCGGCGTTCAGTGGCAGACTACTATTTCATATTGTTTTACAACACATGGCTTTAGCCCTCTGGTAAGAAAGACTTTAAAACAAAACTTACAACAGTTACTTTTCTCAGCAACTGAAATTTAGAATAGTGTGATTAAACAAAATATGTGAACTGTTTGCAATTTCAAATTAATATTGAAATGTACAGGTTTAGAATTTTCTACAGTGAAAAGTTTTCGGAACTTCAGTATTCAAAACAGTATATGAAAGCTAGACGTTAAGAACGTATCCAATGAGCGAGCAAAGCGAGCATTGGATTGCGATACAATCCGAAATGAACTGCGAAAGCAGTTCCGGGGGATGGCAAGCGCCAGCGAGCAGGGGGCGAAGCCTCCTAGTTTCTGAAAAATATACGAAAGATAAGAATGACGTATTGTACTTAAAAATACAATATCGATATTCACATATGCTTGCAGACGAAGTTGCTCAAAATGTTCGACGCTCCTACACGCGTTGCAGAATGAAGTCAAACTATCGCTGGAATAGTAAGATTAAAAAAAATTTCATTTAAACACAAATGCATATCATAATACAGCTCTTAAATATTAAAATATTTCATGTTTATTCAAACACTTTTTTTCTGAAATTTGAAAAGCTTTTCATGAAACATTTTAATCATGGCAATCATTTATAAAAACTATTCTTTCAAACATAATACAATCATATTCATTTACAACCTTTTTTAAAGAGAGGTTTCAGAATTACCTCCCTAAGAGGTATTTAAGAGTAATTAAAAGCGTAAAAAAAAGAGTTTCAATGTTGCTTTAAGCACCAGATTTTTTTAAAATTCCTTTTAAAAGCTCTTAAAAAACTACTTTGTATTTAATTCTTCAAATGTTCTGCACAAAAAAAGAAGAAAAAGCATCTTGAATTCTTTTTATTTTTAATAAAACCTTGATTTCTTTTGTTTACAAGTAATACTTTAATTATATTTAAGAGCATGCATTGTTACTTTCTTTTTAATAGTCTAAGATTTAGTACTATAAAGTATGAAATAAAAACAAGAAACTCCATTTTTACTTAAGAATCTTTTTTTTCCTCTTTGATTTTTTTTAATCTTACTTATAGACCAGTTGTATGTATGTGTGTTAATACTTAAAAAAAATTTACTCTTCTAAAAAAACCATCATTTATGGAACTATAACACCGTACAAATTTTCTGCTACTTTTAATATGTTGCTTTTTACTTAATTAATTGCATGGAGTCTCAAAATAATAGATGTGAACTTTACATCAAAACTAACATATTTTGTTGTAATACTAAAACATGCGTCGCCTATTATTTTTTGGTACAATTTTGGAAGTAACATGTTGTTTTCATAGCAGAAGATTCAATATAGCTGATTTTATAACAGTTACAAAATAGCAGTTACAAATAATTCTAGCTATCTCTATTTTCTTTTATTATTATATTATTAGTTATCCGTTTCTTAAAATACGTTTTAGGAGAAAATTTTCCCCGTTATGTATTAAATAAGAATAACTTTAAACTTCTAACTTAAAAAATGTAAAGACTTTATAAGCTATTAAAATAATATTTTCCAAGTAATAGTTGTTTTATTTAATATTCCTTCAGGAGAGGTAGCCTACTTTTCAAGATTTCGAATATCCCAGCGATCTTAGCTTTTTTTTCTTCCTTTTCGCGTCAGTCTTAGTTCATGGCATTTGCTTAACTAGATTACGTAATGCCGTTTATCTTAGTCGTAGCATAGCATTGAATACTATTACGAATTAGTAAATATGTGTATAATTTCGTGAATATCCTTTTGTTATGAGGCTAAATATCTCAAACGGATCCTAAAAAAATAGTTTACTTGGAAAAATTGCTAGAGAGTCGCGTAATTCTAATTTAATTTAAGGAAAAAATAAAGCCTAATGTCTTTCTTTGAAAAGACTCGGTTGAGTGACTTCTTTGTTGACTTGGCGATAATTTTGACGACTTGGCAATACTTTGCCATCATGTTGGCGACAATAAGGTAGTTCTGAAAAATTAGAGTTTCAAAGCGATAGGACTAATATTTAAGGAGTTACACGAGAATTGTCTAGAATCATAATGAAAGTTTCGGGGTTTCCTCGCCAAGCCCATATAGATAGAAATGTGCTGCTCAGAATAAAGTAGAAGAGAGTAGTAGCAACACCTCCTAGAAAGAACAGGCCTCAGCACGGGTTACCATAAATATCCCTTAGTAGTCCTAACGTAATGACATATTCTGTATTTTCAACCACTGCGCAGCTTAATTCCCCTAACGTAATGACTTCTTACTTAATTTTTGGCTACTGCGCAGTTAACTTCGTCACATCGGACTACTAAATTGATCCGTGCTGAGGCCTTACTACTTCTAGGAGGTGTTGGTAGTAGTCTGCTTGTGTCCATAGTTGTATTATAACCCGAGTTAGTTCATTGACCCGTCTGAGGTTGTAAAGTCTGTGTACTACACTGTTATTTCAGCTGTAATTGAGTGTTATAAATAGCTGTATTTTCTGGAAAATTCTGTTAATAAAGTTTTTGGAGTCTTAAGGACTGTTTCATTGATCTCCAATCAAATCGAGTCCTTGTGCTCCGCCCAATACATGGTTTCGAATGAGTTCGAGGCGTATCCTTATATTTGTCGTAACCAATCAGTATGATCCACGTCGAAATGTGATAATATACCTATAAGAATAATGTGGTTTTTGTTCTTTGCAGGCATGACATTGGACTTACAGACGGGTGCAGCGTACATGGCCTTCTCTGCGTTCAGCTTGACTAGTGAGCGAGCCCGGGTCATCGATTATTCCGTCCCCTTCTATCACTCTGGAGTGTCCTGTCTCACCTATTTCCAAGACAGAGATGTTCCACTTTCAGCCTTTCTTATACCCTTCAGGTGAATATTTCATCAGTCAGTTTAAATGAAGGGGAATGTAAAACTAAAGGAAAGAAACTTCCTGTATCATAACGAATTATATAAATGCCGACCCGGAAGTCCATACAATATTTAAAGAATTAGCTAAATAATAATTAAGATAAACTGAATTTGTTAGATTTGGTCAGTATTTAAAATATTCGCAGCGTGGTTATAAGGTCTTATGCGTTTACTTAAATTGTTTTCATACAGCGGTGGTCAAAATTATTAAATCAAATACAAGCATAACATTTACTGAAAATTTCATTGTTCAAGAAAAATCTCTCGGAAAAAGTAGAAAGTTGATATGTATGAAATTAATGTGGCTTTTAAAAGCTTACCAGTGCACCATTATCTTCCACGCGCAAATGGTATTAAGATTGAAAAATATAAGTCCATCATGAATTCTTATTGAAATTTAAAGACTTATAACTCTTGACTTTCCTGATAATGAAGTTAATTGAGGTTTAGGAACGCTGGCAGTACATGAAATCTTGGACATCATTCGTGGTAGCCAAGAATATGAATCAGTATACTTCAGATCATGTACCTGCGTTAGTCCCTAAAACCCTTCTTATCCAATAAAATATTGCATTTCTGACACCGCATTACAATCTGATTCGAGATTTTCAGAAAAGGAATAGAATTTCATTACAAAGGAGCACAGACGTACAGTTTCGAAACAACAATCGTGCTAGACGAAAAACCTTCTACTTTTTGGTGTATAGTGATAGGACACAGAAAATGGCTTTAATCTAATAGTGCTTCACTTACGTGTCTCTAGTATTAGAGATTCTGAGTGTACATTTTCAGAACCGAATGTGCTTATTAAGACTCTTTTTTTAAGAATTCTCTGGAACGTCTTTCCCATTTGAATCATTTCTTTGGTTAAGAATCTTTCTACTTTCTTTCAGAATGTTTCTGTTCTTTATGCTAGAAATTATGTTTTTGAGTTTAAATTCTGACTTTTCTAAAAAAGAATTTTGATCGAAAAATCAAAATGTCTGACTACAAAACTACTGTCCAGATTTGATTCCCTTCTAAAGTACTTGGTTGATTCCTGCAGGGCAATAAAATAAGTAGACTAAAATTAACACTTTACAAGCTTTAATGATACAACGCTTGTTACGGCTGTTTCAGATTTTGCCGTGAGTACTTTGCGAAAGTTATTAACAAACCTACGGAGTTTTCTGTCTCAGTCCGGGATCTGAATTTCGTGGCCACTCTTTCCCTCCTGTCAGTTAAAAGTGTAAACAAATTTACTCTGTAAAAAAAACTGAGAATTCAGCTAATATGTCACCAAGATAAACAAGCCCTTTTATGAAAATATTCTATCGTAATTAGTAATGGACTAACTGGGACAGAGTATGTGTATCTCTCTTTTCTTATCTAAACCCTTAAGAGTACATATTTCTCCAGGTATCTTTTCATAAGTATAGTTTATTTATAATCGTCTTCATAGTGGAAACCGCAGGAAATCGAAATAGCTAAGTCCAGACTTAAGCAAATAATGAATCCTTAAATTGATTTTAAAAAATTGAACCAAATCAAACCAACCTGGAAATTTGTAACATAGTATTTAACACCCATTTTCTTCAACCCTTAATAATCATGCTCATCACTAACAAACAGAAATTAGTGACTGTTTTCGATTTCACCACCAAATGGTGAGTCCTGATGTGACTTATTCATCCTTATGCGTCATATTTCGATGACATTGTATACCTTTTTTAAATAATTTTTCCAAACAAAATCTATAAAATATAGCTCCTTAATGACCTCTTTTTCAAATCAAACCAACCTGGAAATTTGTAACATAATATTTAAGACCCATTTTCTTCAACTCTTAATAATCATGCTCATCACTAACAAACAGAAATTAGTGATTGTTTTCGATTTCACCCACCAAATGGTGAGTCCTGATTAGATTTATTCATCCTTATGCGTCATATTTCGATGACATTGTATACCTTTTTTAAATAATTTTTCCAAAAAAAATCTATAAAATATTGCTCCTTAATGACCTCTTTTTCAAATCAAACTAACCTGGAAATTTGTAACATAATATTTAAGACCCATTTTCTTCAACCCTTAATAATCATGCTCATCACTAACAAACAGAAATTAGTGACTGTTTTCGATTTCACCCACCAAATGGTGAGTCCTGATGAGATTTATTCATCCTTATGCGTCATATTTCGATGACATTGTATAACTTTTTTAAATAATTTTTCCAAAAAAAATCTATAAAATATAGCTCCTTAATGACCTCTTTTTCAAATCAAACCAACCTGGAAATTTGTAACATAATATTTAAGACCCATTTTCTTCAACCCTTAATAATCATGCTCATCACTAACAAACAGAAATTAGTGACTGTTTTCGATTTCACCCACCAAATGGTGAGTCTTGATGAGATTTATTCATCCTTATGCGTCATATTTCGATGACATCATTGTATACCTTTTTTAAATAATTTTTCCAAAAAAAATCTATTAAATATAGCTCTTTAATGACCTCTTTTTCGGTAGAGATTCTAAAAATTTCTTCTTTGAAGATGTATTGTTAAAACACATTGTTAATAATAACCAACAATCGTATGTAAGTCACGAACTTCCTTTTCCAGTGTCATTACATAGACCACTACCGCCATCTTTTTCAGAACTTTATAACTTAAAATCGATACTCATTAAACCTAAACTGATAATAATCTCTAATAATCGAGGCATAAAGATATGAGTTAGTATCTTAAATATCTAATTACGGGCATAACTAGTTTAACCTTAATTGTATCCCTCGTTTAGGAGCATTTACAGCTATAAAAAGAAATCATGTTCTTTTCTGTGGTAGTGTAAATTTTGAATACTAAAAAAGCTGATAAAGCATATAATATGCCAGCATTTTATCTGTTAGAAGCTATAAATAAATAATGATCTAGACATCATTAGAGCACTAATGATTTCCCAATATATCGAGAAAAACTGATTTCCAGTTCACAAAATTACTTCTTAACATAAAATGTTTTGTCGATATCTAAGTTGAAGAAAACTGGGTTAAGTAATTCGATCTCCTATGTTAGAAAATATTTAGTATTTCTTTATTGTTTTCTTTGGGTATACTTAGATATTAGAAAGATAGGCAATAAAAATATTCTTCGATTGTTTCCTAAATATTGGGTAATTTTTTTTAATACTTTTGTTAAACTTTTGAAAAGGCTTCAGTGATAAAAAGTAAACTATTCTGCTTACTAATATAATGAAATATATTTCTGGGATTATAATTCTTTATCTTTTTGAAGTAAGAATGTTCGTTCATCAGAAAATACCAAACTCTAATTTAGTCCATACTTTTTTGACATTTTAGATTTAAAGCATTCTGTGAGGCGAGGGCATAAGTCAATGCTTCACATGTCTATGTCTCTAAATATGGGTGTCTTAAAATTGTAGTGATAAACGTTTCGAGCAGTGATTCCCGAAGTGGTCTACATCGACCTTCCGGGGTTGACGACAACCTGGGGGTCCATGTCAGTGAAAAAAAATTGGGGGTCCATGAAATGAAAATGGGGGACAACGATAGTGGATCTCATATAAGCAGGTCGAGACTTTAATTTTGGCATTTCATGAATTGAATAATCAACATACACTGATAGTACCTATTTACTTTCACTATACTACCTTATAATATAAAGACATATATCTATCTACATTCAGCATAATTTATAAAAGTAGCTATGAGGTAAGAATTTTATTAAAATTTAAGTTATTAGGATTATTTTCTGATATATGAAACTGAATTATTAGAAACTAGCAGTTGCCTGCAGCTCCGTCCGCATACGTTTTTATTTTCTCTGAGTATAAGGTTTTATTTTGTAAACAAAAAAGTATTTTTCCGCTGTAAATTGGTTTCCGGTAAATTAATTGGATTGGTAAATTTTATTTGAATTTTATTAATAAATGCATAAAACTAACATGCGTTTTTTCTTAAGTTTTTCACACTAGACTTCACTACAGTTAGAAATTTAAATCTTTCACAGTGAGTAGCACTATACCAGCTGTCAAAAATACATTTGAAGTAGATGAATTTACAAAAAATCAATATCAGGTAAGCAGGGGGGTTTTTCAGTTTCGGAAAAACTGAAAAGCATGGCAAGGAGTGTACGAGACAAAAAAGTTCAGGAACCACTGGTTTAAAGGAAATGAGGTGGTGCATTATTAGAATTGAGGATTGCATAACAATTCTTCAGAAACGTTAATGAAAAGTGATAGCAGACTTGAAAAATTTAAGAAGATAATTAATTAATAACATTTATAGAACGTTATAGGGTGTACTAGATGGACGCAGTTCTTAACATTACGTAAGAATATGTAACATCAGACGTTACATTTGTCTGACACTGATGGAGCATTTATTACCAGACAGGGTCGCAGATTGGTATTTTTCTTGACTGCAGTACTGCAAATCAGTCTTGCCATGATATTTAATGCAGACTTATCAGACATTAAACAATAACTAAGAGTGTTCCTAAAAGATAAAACTTATGGCTCAATTAATCAGAGAAGATTAGCGTAGTGGAGGCACCTAGATGCAAGATGCACAAGCGTACCATTGCACACTAGTAGCTTTGCTAATTGGATTTAAGCTACTCTTAACTACCCTGAGACTGTTTTTTCTTTGTAAAAGGAACACTCAACAGTATAGAGAAATTTAAAACTTTCACATAACATCCCACACACCAGAGAAAATTTAGTTAAATTATTGACTATTCTGGGGAAATGTAATCAAAATACTCTTCTTTGCAAAGCAACTGGGAAAAGTTTCTCAAAGTTCCTCCATTTAGAACTATGGTTGTAAGAATCAACAGACTTATCTGAGAAGATATTTCACTTAAATACTGAAGAGGGTTCCCTTGTTAATATAGCTTTCCACTTTTTCTTATGTGCCTATGCATAGTTTTAAACGTTAGACATTAGGATAGACCGAAAATGTCGAAGTACTCGACTTGTTAAAGTCGAAATGCGAGTTTTCAAATACCATTAGTAAGAAATACGCAAAATATTTTAATCTGCCGCCTGAATATGGCAAAGAAAAGTTGAACAGGTATATATTTTATGTATCCTTTATAAAGTCGTGGGAAGTATATTTTCCATCAACTTCATTGATTTTTAAATGTCAATCAATGGGAATCTATTTTTTCACTTATGATTTGTGCGGTTGTTTGTTGATAACTTCAAAAAATACAAAAAAGAAATTACCAATAAAAAGCTTGGTTGACGTAAATGTGATTAAAGATATAGGTATGCTTGGAGTTAAGAAGAGAGGTCAACACTGGAGCGCTATTTTCACTTCGGTGTTATGCATTTGTTAATTTGATCATTTCTTATCCTATTTATTTGTAGTTATAAACGCAGAATTTATAAATTCTGTTATTTATGTGCATGGAAGCTTAAGACTATGGCTAATTCTTTTCGGCGGGTAAAATTTTGAAAATCCCACCCACCTTCCCACCAAACAAAATGGTCTTAAAAATCAAATTAATTTTCGATAATAAGTTAAATAAATTTCTTTTAATAAATTAATCTCAAACAACCAATATTAACACCAAAAGTAGAAAAAATGGTCATATAAAAAGGTTGATTTGCTTGCGAGGATTGAGAGGTTGATAGATTTGCTTGGAACAAGCTTAAAATTTATTATTTCTTAGTTAAAATATATGTACAAAATTTTAGAATTATACCTGGAATGAATTACGACTCAATGGCATTCTCCATCTCAATGGCACAAAATTTAAATTGGTTCATTGACATTCAGGTGGCATAGTGAAATCTTTCTGAATTGATATCTTTTGCCTCTTCAATGAATCAATCTTAAATTCAGTGCCATTGAGGGGGCAGATATTTTCTGCCTCTTCAATGAATCAATCTTAAATTCAGTGCCATTGAGGGGGCAGAAGATACCAAGTTATAATTCGAAAATTTTGTGCAGATGTTCTCGTCAAAAAAGGATAAGTTTTAAGCACATTTCGCATGCGAATCAACGAAGTTTATGATCTCTTTTATAAATGTTTGAATATAAAGGCTTCTTTTAACCAACCTTTGGCATATTGAAGAGACAGAATATATCAGTTCAGTGTTATAAGGTTTACCATATTCTTTAATGATGGTAGTTGACATAAGATTCTGTTAAACTTTTTCGACCCCACCCAATTGATTATGCTTTTTAACTATATTTCTGATCAGAATTAATGCCCATACATATAGTTAATGATTGTCATTTTTTCAGTCCGGAATTGTGGATTGCCATCTTTGGCTGCCTGCACGTAACATCGTTGTTCGCTGCAATCTATGAGTGGCGTTCTCCCTTCGGTCTCAATCCATGGGGAAGAATGCGAAGCAAAAACTTTTCATTATCATCTGCATTGTGGGTTATGTGGTCTCTACTTTTCTCTCACCTGGTCGCCTTTAAGGTAATGTCCAGTCTCATATTGCTCTAATTTGTGATCTTGGGGGGAAGCTCTACTAGTCTTACTCTTCAACTTTTATTAACTTCATTTAATTTGTTTCTGATCATTGCATAACCACTACTTTACCGATGAAAGGCTATATGTTACCGATATGTTAACATTTAATCAAAATAAAATTCGAATCATACACCTGATAGCAGTTTATAAATCCGAAACAACTGTTTAAGTTTAATTTTTGTTTCTGGAGTTAGTATTCCGAAAGTTATGAAACCTTACAACTAAACTTTTAGACTAAAAAGTCAAAGATCTCAAGTCTTTTACCCCTTAATCTGACCATTTTGAGATGCATTTGCTTCTATTGAAAGTTTAAAATTCTAAAATATAGTTTAAGTTCTATTTAAATTTCATATATATATATATATATATAATTTGAAATTAGAGCTTTTTTCCGAGTTTAACACACTCAAACTGTAACTATTTTATTTTTCTTATCGAAAAAGAATCATTCGAAATATATGCTTGAATTTTTATTCCGTTGGGGAGGTGAACTGACAGAAAACAATTCCAGATTCCTTTAAAATCAGAGACACTATTTTTACATCAGTTTCTAAGAACCACCTGTGTACACAATCGATATTAATTATGAAATTTTCCATACCTGATAATTGTTGACAAATAGGTTCACTCTAATTACGAAGTGCAAAGATACTTAAAAAAGTAAAGTTTAAAACTTACAGTCTAAAACTAGCGCACACTAAAAACTAGTCTAAAAACTAGAAACTCGATTTTTTTTTCCCCACAATGATCGATGAGAATTTAGATTGCGGAGAACGTTTACTCGAAAAACTGTTCTTTATAGTATATCTGAAGAGGAAAGAAGAAGAAGAAAAAAAGATGCTGTCTTCGAAAAATATTTCACGCCTTTTTAAAAATTCGATAAAATTCTTGCGTTTCCATCTAGTTTCTCTGAAGCATGAATATCATAAATCGCGAGGAACGGAAAGAGTTTATCATCTGTTGCCACATTTGGCTGCCAATTTCTCATTTGTTTATTTGAAATGCTTCCACGTATAAATTTTTTCCAGATTGAGGGAGACATTTTGATCTTCAGTCATTTCTTTTTTATTTGTGACACATCACTCAGATACATTATTTCTGTATTTTTGTCTGAGCCTAAAGAATATATTTTTAGTAAAATAATAAATAAGTACATTTCTTTAATATTTAGCCGCCTTCCTTACCACTCATTTCATCAATTTTGAAATGTCCTAGGAGGTATATTATTTCAGCTTTTAAAATTTCTACTGTAATCCATATGTTAGCAATTTCAGTTCCAATAAAGTACATTTGAACAAAGTTAGTAACACTTTGCCAATTATAGAGGAAAGGCGTTGTCATTTGTGTTATACTAACGCACATCAAAAGAGAACATGTCTTGACATGTCCTATTGTATGTTTCTTCATGTTTTCAAAAGGTTTTTAATTTCAGAGATCGATGATGTGATGATGCTATCACAACACTCTCCATTTACAACCTTTTGGTTATTGCCTTATTTTTTTAATTACTTTTCACTCCATGTCTAACGCATAGCTTTTAACTATAACCGCTAACTTTGCTGAGTTCTCAGACCTGCACGTTTCATTGCTGACGATCCTCTTAGGTCAATTTTCTTCTTGAGTGCTAACAATTTGTTTTCGTGGAATATAACATTTCTTTTAATTTGTTTTTGTGGGATATCTATTTCATTGAGAAACGAAGAAAGCTGGTTGTGTTCAGAATAAAATAAGAAAGAAAATAAGATTTTAGATAAAATAAGTTTGATATTTTTGTTGCTATCTCTAACTGAATTGCTAACAGAAATGAAGGTATTCCTGTCAGCAATTCAGATAGATATGACATACCCTCCAATATTTGAGATTACTGACATATAATTTTTCAAATGGTAGAAGCATTTTAAAACATATAAAATTTTTGCAAAATATTTATTAAGATTTAAGAGCATGACAACTACGGAAATTCCACAGTAGTTGGAGGATATATATTTATTTTCAATTTACCTGACAACAAGATCACTGAACGTAAGTTAAGGAAACTCTGTAGTTGATCATTCGACTCATAAACTATGAATTAAAAACTTGCTTATTTCTTTCTTTTCTTGATACATGCCGAATAAGTTAGCATAAATGAAAGAAAATACTTTTATGATTTTATTAAAATATAGATAAGAGATACAGGTTTACTTTGGAACTCTTGAAATTGTTACTATAGCATTCTGATTTCCTAAAACTAGCAATTTGAAGAATGTTTTATTGACTAGGGTTATTAAATCGCCATTAAAAATCATGAATCAATTAGTGATTCATAACATTGAATCACGATTAAAATTTGTGAAAATTGAGCCTTTAAAGGCACAATTTCATAAACGTTACGCTAAGATCTTGAAATTTCGTAAAACATTTCAAAATGTTTACAAAAACAATTGAGAAAAGTATCATAAAGAAACATCGATTATTAAAAAAAACTGAACACAATTAGCAAAAAAATTCATCTCTGGCAAAAAGTAATAATACAAAAAGAGTTTGCTCGCTCTAACAGTATTTTATAACGGCCGGAATAAAATTTTTTAAAACAATTTATCCGTCATATTGTATACAAAGAAAATTTAGGAACTTGGAGAATTAACTTGGTAAGTCCAATGTTTTTTTATGCATTTTTGACTGTGGACAATTTAGCTGCTACGATTGAGGCAAAATGACGTAAATGGTGTTTGAGTCGTCTCGTGGTGGTTAATTCCGTGCAAAAACTACATATAACTATCTCCCGTCATTTTTCATTGCTGTTATAGTTTATTTTCTCCTGTTATTTTGTGTTTCTTCACTAAAGAAGGTACTTGTTTATGTAACCGAGGCTAAAGTATAGGGTGTTCAGCGGAGGACTGACTGATTTCAAAATAAAAAATCTCGAAAACAAGAGACGATAAATTAATAGAAACAAACGGCATATTTATTGTGAAACCTGTAAAAACTTTCTGCAGAATTTCTAGAGTCCAGTTATTAAAGTTGTTTGCAGGTGGCGCTGCAGGCCATCGATAATCGGCCAAAGCGATCGATTCTAGAGTTATAACGTGAAAGGAGAGTGTCGTACCGGATTAGGAAGTTTAATCTATGTGTTCTATTGAACAACGTATTTCTGGTACTAGAACATCACTGATTAGATTATAATCATTATAATCCTACATTTGTATTTTATCAAGAACTCTGCACATCATAATGCGCCATCTGTTAGCGATTTCTGTAACTAAAATCACAAATTTATACGCAATAGACATACTGTTTGTTTTATTCCTCTATCACCGTTTGTTTCCGGGATTTTCAAATTTGTAATCAGTCAGGCTTTTTCTGGATTTTCTGTATGTCTAGTTTGGTATCTTCATTTGTGCTTATTTCATGTTGTATTGCTTTATCCATGCGTAATACAACGTATTCTCATTTGGGTGTCAGTTTCTGATTGTTTTTCTTTTGTGCAGGCACCCAAATCATGGCCGAACAAAGTGTTGATCAACTTGTGGGGCTGCTTTAGTGTCATCTTCGTATCTTCATACACTGCTAATATCGCTGCGCATTTCGCGGGTCTCTTTTTTCATCTGAGAGTCGATGACTTCCATGACGTTGGCGTAAGTAAACTCCAAAGTTTCTGACATTTCTGCGCAAACTCAAAACACACTCTCGAAATATCGATTCATAATGAAAGTACTTAGATCCTTAATGCGGTGCTAGTTTGAGGCAGCTTTAATAAGGTGTTAACAATCGAAAAGCCGGCTGCATTCTTATACGATGACACTGACGAGCTCGAGCTAGCTACGAGAACAAAAACTGCAAACAGAAAGAAAGAGTGGAATCATCGATAGCCAGCCCCACAGCGGCCGCAATAAGCTAACCAAAATTCGAAATGTTTTAAATCTTTTGTCAGCAATACAGATAAATTATTGCTATCACCATTAAGAACTAAGTTAACATCACTTTACAAAACTTTAGTTTGACATCTTCGGTCACCTCAATGGTCTAAAAAACACTTAAAATTCAAGAAAAAAAGAATTACAGATTCTATGGATTGACTTGTAGTCCGCTTCTTAAAAACAATATGCAGTACAATATATACGAAAAGTTAATATCGTATGTCCTCCCCCATCGATGCCGATATTGGATAATAAACACACATTTTTAGATAATTATAAACCACCACTTACTTCATTTTAATGTAATCCAAATACATTCGGTAATTACCCGAAATTCGGCGCCACTGAAACCTCAGAAGGTATTAACTAAAATTCTTTACTTACATTACTGACGTAAGTAACTCTTAAGCAATACTCTATATCGATCGACAAAATCTGAAATATTTTTGTTTTCCCACCTTTTAGCACATTGAAGGGGTAGAAAATATTATTTTATAGTATGGAGATTTTGCATGTTTCTTAATAATGACAGTTGGAAACTTTTCCGTGCCACTGCCAAGTGATTTAAAATACCTCGACTTTTTTTGGTCTACCCCAATAGGGATATAGCTATCAATAAAAAGATCACTCTTATATTAAGTAATTACCTTCGATTTATTAGAGTTACAAGCAAGAATTCGAATGATTGCTAAAAATTACTTCTGTTTCTGATTGAAAATTTGCGAAATATTTCGAACGAGTGAAATCTTTTGTGAATTGGGAATTAATAATTTCTGTAGTATCAATATCTCGTGCACGTCAAAATTTGTCCATGTGATGTTTTGTTCCCAAAATAGTTCCCAAGAACACCGTTTATTTTCTACAATTTTTACATCATTTTATTAGTTAAAAGTTCATTTTTCTACATCATTACCAATTGCAAGCGCAGCTTTGACAGTTTTTCTTTGCTTATGTTATATCAGCTCCTTGACTTGTCCTTGAGAAAGTATTGAACCAAATTTTCTCCTTTTCGTTGAAGCAGAATCATTTAAAGTCGGAAAAGTTCGACTTAATGCTTTATAGTACTACGATAAACGATGGCATATACTGTGAAACACAGATATAACTCCAACGGTAGAATTTCAAAGCCAGAGAAGAGGAGCGTTAAACAATGGCGTAAACATTCTCCACTAGTTACTCTTTAAGTCGTCGCTCTCCCCCGCAACAATTTCAATTGAACATCACCACACATTCTATTGTCTACACTTGATTTCTCCACCTTCTAGCGGAGAGAGATTCAGCGCTTTGAGAAAGTGAAATATGGGGCTGTGACATAGTATGGCACGAACATACGAATATAGTCATCGCATCGACAAAAATGCATCATCCGACTTAGCGATTTAAGTAGGAAAATTGATAAACGTTCAATCTCTAAAATGAAGTAGGTAGATACTACAGAAAAAACAGGTGTTTTTTGTATTTGTATTAAAAAAAAACAAGAAACCTTAATTAAATTTTAGGATTGCACTCGTACATCAAAACGTGATTTTTTCCCCCAATATGCCAAGTATATGCAAGATTTCGTTCCAAAATATGTTCCTGTGAGAGTTCATTTACAGAATATTAAACCCCAGCGAAATTTTGTCTTTTCATATCAGAGTAACTAATCCCCAGACATTGTTCAAAATGAGTATTTTAAAAGTGCCTAAACTATACTACACTATTCTATTTACAGCTCCTGAATCAGAGGACAGGAACGGCAAAAGGAAGCGCTTCGGAATCATATATATTCGCTCAAAATCCCCAACTGTGGCAGCATATCCAGAAGTATGGTTACGACGATCTTGAAAAAGGACTAGAGAAACTAAGGTAAATTTTTCGTTGAAGCTAAGGTGAGAATCATTCACATCATTCCAGGTCACTTGATTCTTGTTTTTGTTTTTTTTTTCTAGGAACAAAGAACTGGACATGCTGATTGGGGATACCATAGTTCTAGATTACATCAGAGGCAACGATCCGGGATGCAGCCTTCACTTGTTGGGACAATCTTTATTTGATGACGCGTATGCGGTGGGCATGCAGAAAGGCTTTTCACTTAAAGTGAGCTCTTCAATCATTTCTAGGATGTTTTTTAAAGGGCCATTTCCACTGCATGCGATTCGGGCACTCGCGGTCGAAGGAGAATAAGAACTTAATTTGTGAAATATATATTTCCCCGTCATAAACTCGCCAATCAGGTTCATTTCCTCTCTCGGCATTAACCGGAGACGCGTGAATCAGTGCTTAAAATAAAAAAGGGAATACCCAAAATAACATTTGATCCAAAGTAGTTCAAACGCCTGATCTCAAATATGCTAATTAATTAGTGCAGACCATATTTTAAGTTACGAAATCAGACAAAGAAACACATTTTATCTGAATAAACATAATTTTTTTGACAGATTTGGATTCTTGACTCTCAAAATATGGGAGTAGCCACAATCTGAAAGATGTGGTCCCAATAGTTTGGTCAAGAGAGCGGCGGAAGGTTTCGACCAATTAATCTTAATTTTACTTATATTTCTTCGCATATTTTTGATTTTATAAATATTTCGCCATGTCTCGAGAAATTTTTAATCGGATTGAAAACTTTTTGTACACTATTATTAAATTCGTTTATTCACAAATTCGTTATTCGTTTATCCAAAAATAATTGCATGCAAAAAGTAGTTTTTAACACATATTAATTATACATATTAATTAATTATACTGTTGTGTTGGTGTTGTCAAATGACACTAACAAGACAACAGTTATACACATGGTTAACTGTTGTGTTGTTGTTGTTGTTTGACAATTGCAGAAAAGTTAAACTACAAGTCAAAAGGGACCGAAGGCATCATAGAGGGTATGACGTATGGTGTGGCAGAAGTCGAATTCTTGGCCATAGATGGCTCCACTGGAAAACAAGAGCAATCGCACCCCCTCTGCCAAAATAGGCATACATCAACAACAACAACAATAATAATAGTTGAAAATTTTTGAATTATAAGGTAAGCAAACCTTTACACCCTTTTAAAGAATGCCATTTTAAATTACAAAATACAAAATTTTAGTACAATAGGTTGAAAGTTCCTAATTTAAATTTAAAGTAAAAATGAAGTAATTGTAAAAATCCTAAGTAAATTTTAAAAAATTCATTTCTCGAGAACTATTTGACTGATTTAGTTTCTATTTTTTGCACTTCACAGTAAAAAGAAAATAATAAGAGGGGAGAAGATTAATCATATATTAATGGTTCAAAATAAATGAATATACCTGTTAAAATCTTTCAGAAACGCATTTCGACATTGATTTTGAGATACAACGAGTACGGTTACATGGAACAACTCCAGAAGAAATGGTTCGGACGAGTGCCTTGTTTCAACCATTCCCTGCATCGACTGAACAAGCCTAAACCACTGAGTTTAAAAGCCGTTGCCGGAGTCTTCATCATGCTGGTCATTGGATTGTTGGTTGGCATTTTCATCCTGGTCATTGAACACGCTGTCTTTAAATATGCCTTACCTGAACTACGGAAGATGCCACCCGACCGCTTCTGGAGAAGTCGAAACGTTATGTTCTTCAGTCAGGTATACAATAATCCCTATAGCAACCGTTTTCTTCTTAGCTACAATAAAGAACGGTCCAATAAGGATCTCCAAGATCATCGAGAAACCAAAATTGTGATAGAGGAATATTAAACAGCGTGAAACTTATTTAAGTTCCAATTCATTCTCTTCTAATGAAGAACCTTTTTCAATGTCGAGACACAGAATGGAATTAGGGGCTTCGACACTGAAGAAGGTTCACTAAGGAATCAAAATTATACTATGTCTATTTATATGGCAATATTTCAGCTCTTTTCATGCTGTTGAACTTTATTCAGGTATGTTAACCATTCCTTCACTTCAAGATTGGGCTACCTAACTGGAACAATTAATTAATAGTTCATCCAGGCTGAATAGTGGCTAAAAATATAGTCCGAATAGGAGAAATAATACCAGCTGAGGCTCAATATAAGCTGAGTAAAGGCTATAAAACACCGAGTGAATCAGACAATTCTACATGGGATCAATCTAGACAGATTAGTGTTTGATAAAGGTATTTTTCGCTTGTATTTTTGGGCCAACGTTCTCAAATATTGGTCTTATGATGGTCCTCGTGTTATTGCTACTAAGAGTTATCCTCAAAATTTGATACATGAACATTTTACCTCTCTTTGTCTTTAAAAGGAATACTTGTCTAATTTGATAGATATTCTCCAAATCAATAGTCCCATCTGCAATCAATAGTCCAAATCAATAGTCCCAGCCCAATTTCTCAGGAGACCTTTTAATTTAATTCACATGAAGTGAGACTCCATTGTTCATGAGTGTATTCTGATTGAACGAAAACGTAACCGAGATTTAATCTTAATGGTGGTGTAATCGAGGGGTTGAATAAAAATTTTGAATCTTGAGTGGACAGAGCGGAATCAAAGACAAATGAGATAAGAAACCAAGAAAAAGTCAAACAGTTATAAATCCGATAAGTGTGAGGGACTTATGCGATAGGAATCTTCAGAAGACCAACGATGAAGTTTGGATAGGCAAATCGTGTGCCTATCGTCTTCTGTATCCGCTGCACCAACAACAGTCATTCTGACTTGGCGATTTCTAACAAGCAAAAAAGATTTTGTTCATCTTTGAACACCTTTTTGATTCACTCACAGCTTTCAATCGGATGTAAGCTGTCATCTACTGTCAGCTGATATTATTATTAAAAAAACATCAATTGTTTTTGTATTTAGTGCAAAGCTAATTTTTGCTGTATTCATCTATATGTATAGCCTTTCTGAAACTTCTGACTCACATTAGCATTAATATGATTATATCCAACTTGGGAGCTCGCAACTTTCTGCTCGCTGTGCTTGCCAACCCCCAGAACAACTTTCAGAACCAGCTCTTTTCAGATTGCTTCGTTCCCTCATTGAATACATGTATTCATGAAATCTACTTTTGTATATATGCTTTCATTTTTTTTAATGAAGTTCAAAAAAATATGCTACATATACACCCCGTCAAAATCTTGAGTTAAAAACATTTCATTCCATTTATATACATTTCGATGTTACTTGAATAATTCTTCTGAAACAAATAATTAACAGAATTATTTATATACAATTATAAAATTTTTGTGTTTAGAGACACAATAGCTTAGCCCCTCATTCTAAAATAAAAGAATAAAATGTATAAAAAACCAAAGAAAAAGGTTAGGAAAAAAAAACAACAAAGTAGGCAAAAATGGACGAAGTACACCACGATTAAAACAAAAGTTTAGGAAGAACCAAAAAGCAGCGTATTTCTGTTTAAAAACAAAAGCTTGCTTTATATGGACTGTTCAATTTTAACTTATCCTTTCAACCTTAGCTCAGTTAGTTTCAACAACTCGTTACTAACACAAGAAGTTCTATAGGTTTAGAGACACTTTGTAAATTTTTTGAACAGAGTAGTAGTAGAGCATACTTTTGTCTGTCTTTTCAGAAACTGTACAGATTCATCAACACAGTGGAATTAGTCTCCCCACATCATTCGGCAAAAGAAATTGTCACCAATCTCAGAGAGGGTCAGATTTTCAGCCTTTTTCAGAAAAGCGTCAAAAGAGTAAGGTTCAACTTTTATATTCCTCTTATGTCAGGCGCTGATGATAATTTAAATTATCATAAAATTTTTACTTAACTTTTTGTAACTTACGATAATCATTATAATTAATGACGCATGAACTTGTTACGAAATTCTTTTTGCATACGATATTTTATAAGCTATAAAAAAGCGTACAAATTACATTAAATAAAAGTGCAACCTTTTCTTCTTTCTCGACTACTATTTCTTTTCACTGTTTTAGACTAGAAAATATTCAGAAATGTGACACCATTAAAAAACAATTAACTTACGTAATTAATTTAAAATTATAGAAAAGTGAGCTTATGTAAACCTAGTATGTATGCATATATATATATATATATATATATATATATATATATANAGAAATTACTATTGGTTAATGAACTTGCTCGAGTGATTCCCACGGCTTAAAAGGAAAAAAAGATCTTTATTTAAATTTATGCATAGTTGGGCCAAAAATAGATTTAGAAACAGGATGTAGCTTTTAAAAGTGTGAGAAAGTATTTCGATTTGAATAATTAATTAGTAATAAAGTAGGGGCTGTTTTATAGCAAAGAAACTAACATAAAAAGATTAATAGAAGCTTTTTATGTTACATCCCCCCTCGCCGAAAAATTTTGACTAATATCTAAAAAATTTTAAAATTATCCCTTTGTAAAACCTTCCCTATGATGACACAATTAAAATAAAATAATAATAATAATATTTGTAATATCAACAAGATATAAAGTAACATGAATTATAAAAAAAAACACATTTGCACACAATGTAAAAAATGTTTTCCATAAAGTGTTAGAGGAAGAAAAAAAAATTGAATTAGCGTAACTATCAAAATGAAGTGTTAGATCTCCATTTTCAATAATTTTTTGTGATTAAGTTTTTTCAGTCCTTCTATAACAGTAAATAAAGTTATTCCTCATACTAACACAATTAAAATAAACTTTTCACTTAAGACAAGAAAATCTATAAAAATTTCTAAAAGATGTAAATATTCATATTCAACAACATGAAAGATAAAAAAAAACATGAAAATGCAAGTGATATGAGATATAAAAGTACAAATTGACACTTTTTATCAAAAAAAAAATTTCAATAATAAAATTTTACATTTAGAAGGAAGAAAAATAAATTTAAATATATGAATAGCACATATTTTGCTTTTCTAAACACCTTAATAAAATAAAAATTTAAATTTCACTTCTACAATTAATATAATATACACTGTGATATATAATGCAATAAAAAAAAGTGATTCCTTAAATAATTAAAATTATAATCATACTGAATCAAAAGTGAAAAAAAAATATATGACGGTAACACTAAATTTTAATATCATTTAATTGAAACAAATAATATGGTAAACCACTGAATAATAATATCAATAAATGGAAATATTTTCAAAATATAAATATCAATAGCCATAAATTAATTAGTTCAAAATTCGAGATATGAGCGTGAATGATTAGAATACATTCACGTTTAAAAATTTCACCTGGAGAATATCATTAAAAATATCAGAGCACGATTTGTCAAATAAGTATAATTGATATAAAATGTGTAAAATATTAATCCCCCCAAAGAAGATTTTCATAGCACTCATCCATTTTTTTTTCCACAAGATTTCACCACTAAGCACGATCCACTAAAGTTCACACACTGAACACAGCTCGCTTTGGCCAACATTAAGTGCCACCAAGATGAACTTCTGGAAATATAGAATCGCTGTCACTTTGAAATAGGCATTAAATCAAAAATATGGAACAGGTTTTTAGAGGCATGGAATTCTCGAAAAGGTGAAGCAAACGAAACATCTTTTTTTTTTCTTTCTTAATGTTTTCTCCATAGTCGCTTCATTCCAAGTGTAAACACGACAGTTAGTAAAAAGGGGAAAGTGTCGCCAGCCAGGGTCAAGGTTCATCCAAATCCAATCAATTTCGCAGCATTGGCAATAAACTGCTCAGCATTCTCTTCTAGTCGCTGAGAAGTCCACTTACGATCCGTTCGTTAATAGGCTCAAATCTTCCAACGTAGTAGAAGTGTGTTCTTTCAGTTAATTTTTTTTTCTTTCTGTTTTGAAGAAACATTTAATATTATCCTGCGTCCGTTTCATCAGTTCTTATAATCCTGCTCGGCTTGTAAAATGATGCAGTCGGACCGAGCAGGGAAACAGACACACGATTTTAATGAAATCAGATGTAATTTATTTAGATCATGTTCTTATGGAAAACCAGTGAAAAGTGATGTTAACTCCATTCAGGATCAGTCTTTCTGGTAGGGAAAATCTTGCAAATAATCCGAAAATGTCTCTATTTAGAGNATTTTTGGAAATAAATGTTTTGTTTTCTTTTATCTTAAATGTTTTTCTTACATTGAGTTAGTTTCACGAAATTGCTGTTTGACCAGTTTACTGTGAGTTTTTGTATTTTCATTTTTGTATTATATTCTCAAGATTTTGTTTGAAATTTCTCTTCTGATTTGATTTTATGCATTTCTTGTATTTCTTCCTGGAGTTTTTTAAAACCTTCGAGGTACTGAGAGAGCAAATTTTGGTTATTGTCTGGCTCTTTTAATAGAAAAGGTTTTGTTCTCTGGCTTCCGGAGCTGGTACCCCCTGAAGACGTCGGCTTCGGTGGCCATATTTTTATATCTATTGTTTTTATAATTTTATACATATATATATATACAGGTATAGGACAAAATAATAGGAACACCTGTGAAAGAATGGAGTCGTACTCGACTGTCCAATAGGCGGATGACAAGTGTCGCAAGAATGTGCCACCTAGTGGTGATGAAAAGCAAGGTATCTGTCTAGCATTTGGCAGTGTGAGATTTGCATGAGAAAAATCCGTTTCTAGCAAAACGAGATTATGTCTGACCTCTCTGACCTTAAAAGAGGCATGATAATCGGAGCTCGCCTGGCTGGAGCGTCTGTGTCCAGAACAGCGAACCTTGTAGGTGTCTCAAGGACCACTGTATCAAGGACTCTGTCGACCCACACAAAGTTGGGTAAGGTGTTTTCGGCGAGGCACAACAGCTGCAGGAAGTCGAAGTAGTCAGACCGTAATAGAAGGGTGTTGAAAAGGATAGTCGCTCGAAAACGCAAGACTACACTGCCGGTAATAACATCCGAGATGAATACCCACCATCAGAACCCTGTATACATGAAAATTATTCAACGGGATTGCATGCTGCTAACATTCATGGTAGAGTAGCTATTCCAAAACAGTTAGTTTCAGCGCGGAATGCTTTGAAGAGACTACAGTGGTGCCAAGGCCACCTAAAATGGACACAACTGCAATGGAAACAAGTCATCTGGTCTTATGAATCCTCTTTTACACTATTCCAGACCACCTGACGTGTATTCGTGTGGCAATCGCCGGCAGAAGCATTTCATGTTGATTGCCTGGTTCCAACCGTGAAACATGGAGGTGGTTCTGTGATGGTGTGGAGCGCTATATCTGCCCGTGGATTGGGCCTCTCGTTGTCTTGAGGGGGGTGGTCAAAGGGGACCATTACCGAAGCATTCTTGCAGATCATCTTCACCCTATGCTTCACACTCTCTTTCCGGGAGAACGTCCTGTGTTCCAAGATGACAACGCCCCTGATCACACGTCTCACTGTATTCGAACATGGTTAAATGAGCATAATGATGAAGTGGAACATCAAGCGTGGTGTCCTCAGTCCCCTGATCTCAATATCGTTGAGCCTTTGTGGGGTTTTTAGGAGAAAAAAGTCCGTGCTCGGTTTCCTCCTCCACGCACACTCTCTGAACTCGAGACAGCCCTGCAAGAGGGATGGCTGCAAATTCCAATGAACTTTGTTCAAGACCTTTATTTCTCAATCCCACGTCGAATGCAATCTGTCATTCAGGCCAAAGGTGGCCCAACTCCTTATTAATAAAATATTTTCATTTTTTCACAGGTGTTCCTATTATTTTGTCCTATACCTGTATATATATATATATATATATATATATAATAATGCGTGGTATATTTGAAAATGTTCTCTGATCGTCTGGCTAAAACTGTTAGCAACTCTTACAGTAACGATCATAAACAACTCTGAAAAAATATGTTTTGGAAAGATAAAAATCGAAACAAATTATAGCAGAATTACTTCCTGTTGAGTATTCCTGTCATAATTTGTTTACTCTAGGTTTACCTGAAAACACTTTTCTCTGAATTTCAAAATACCTATGGAGGGGAAACAAAATTTGTCTTGAAAAGTTTCCATGCTTATGGTTTTGGCCTATATCTGTTCCGGCTGTATACGATAGGTACATCTGGTATGTTTAAGAACGTCCTCCAGACATTTGACTAAAACTGTAAACAACTCTTACATAATGGTCGTAAATGTGGTATAAATAAAATGATGCTATCCTAGTATACAATGTGCAAACCCTCTAGCGGATAGCGTTTATGCCTAGTGGTCATATGCTATTTTCTATTCCTTTTACATGTCTTTGCCCTGTTATTTTTTACCACGTAATTTCGGAGCATCTCGTAAATTACCAAATATACATAATTTAATTAAAATTCATTGTCAATTTTTATGCTTTCTGCATTAATTTTATTGGTCGTCATATGATTTATGCTGCCTGAATTAATGAAAGTAAATTGAATGTGACGAATACATTGTAATTCAAATATACAAAAGACATGATATTTGATGAAGGAAATAAATAATTGTATAAATAAAGAAGCTCTATATGATTCATATTAGGAGAATGAATTACTTCCCCATCCCATGTCTGTTAATTATAAAAGTAAGCATTTTCTTTAGAGTGTTAACGCAGCCTTTTGTTTTGCAGAAAGCTAAGGAAGATGCCAGGAGAAGGAAAAGTAAATCACAATTTTTCGAAATGATACAAGAAATCAGAAAAATGTATGTAAAACAATTTTCAATTCTTTTCAAATGTTACATAATTATTCAATACATTATTCTAAAAGTCGAGAGCTGAGAAAAAATTATTACTAAAAGAGTAGATCTACAGAGTGAAAAAAAAGCGAAACACCCAGAATAACTTTTAATCTATTGAACGGATCTTCACGCCCTAGGACTCAATCTTAATGGTCCGTGAGCGTGACCTCAAACATGCTAATAAGTTAGTGCAAGCAGGCGATATTTTAAGTTATGAAATCAGACACAAAACATACTTTCTCTGAATCAACAAACTTTGTTTTCAACGGATTTGGATTCCTGACCCCCAAAATATAGTAGATAGCCGGAATCTGGGAAATAGTCTCCCAAGAGTTTGATCAAGAGAGCTGACGAAATTTTGGACCCTTCAATGTTATTTTCACTTTTTGCATACTTCACCGTATCTCGAGAAATTTTCAAACGAATTAAAAAAGGATTTTACACACAATTCGCGATCGCAACGAACTATAGGGGGCGCTGTTGTATGAGACGAATACCTGCGATTTCTATATGAACAGCACTGGAGACGTATTTAATATAGTGTTTAGCATTGTAACGTTCCTTCTTTATTGTGGCTTATTAAATTTAAAAAAGAAAAATGTTTGATATTCTTTCTTATGCAAGCGAAAACAAACAATTTATCTCTTTTTTTTAGAGAAGGAACATCCAGGAACACATCGGAAAAATATTTGTAAATGAACAAGAAAAAAAATATGTATCTTCTTATTAGAGTTAGAACCTAATGACTGCAAAATCGTTTTACTAAATTTAATAATATAACATGAAAGGCCTATTTAAACTTTACATTCCATAGTGTTATGAATGATATTACTTCAAACAAATGCAAAAACTATACATAAGCCCATAATTTTATATAATTTAATTTTGCAAAATAAGTTCTTTGACAATTTTCATGAAAAAATTTTAAGTTTCAATAAAAATCATTATTTATAAAATAAAAAACGCAATATAAAGAATGCTTACGAAAAAAAAAAGATTCTAAAAATTCCTCAAATTAAAATAATAAACTTTCATGTTTTTTTTAAAAATTCTTAATTGGACGCAGAAAACCATTTTATAGAAAATTATCATCAAATTAGAAAAAAAATTTCGTACAAGTAAATTTTTTATTATAAAAATCATAACATCTGATATCATAATATCTGATTTATAAATCCGGAGAATTCCAAAATGATATGTTCTTCGTTTGAAAACTTTATTCTCAAATATTATATATATAGATTATCCCTTTATTACTTTAAGATGACATACCACACAATAAAACTTTATAATTGCAAAATCTCGAAATGAATTTCAATATGTAACTTAAAAACTGAATAGCTGAATTTTAGTTGAATTTTTATTCCATACTTTTCTGAATCATATTACTTCAAACATTAGAAAATGCAAGAAGTATGCATAAACACATAATGTTATACCACTTAATTTTTCAAAAAAAGTATTTTGACAACAATTTTTATCAAAAAATTTATAAACTAAAAAATGCAAAATAAAGAATTCTTAGGATAAAAAAACGATTCTAAAAATTCCTCAAATTGAAAAATAAAACTTTCATATTGTTTCTATTTTTTATTCTTATAGTTCTTAATCAGACATTTAAAAAAAACCATTCTGTAGAGAACTATCATCAATATAATAAAAAAATTACTTACAAGCAAATTTTTTATTTTATTATTAAAATCATAACACTTCCTTTATAAATCCGGAGAATTCCAAATGAAATGTTCTTCGTTTGAAAATTTTATTTTCAAATAATATATACATAGATTATCCCTTCATTACTTTTAGATAACATACCACACAGCAAAATTTTCTACTTTAGAATGAGTTTCAATGTAGTAGGATTCTTTGTTTACCGTATTTTTAAGTTTTCTTTTTTATATCTACTATACATATAAAGTATGATTTTTTGGAAAAATGAGACATAATTGGTCTAGACTAGTGTAGCTTGATCTAGTGTAGGTCTAGATTAAAGTAGCTTGGATATGAATCTATCTCTAGCATCATGTTCAAATATTTTATTCGAAGCCTCTGTCTCAAGTATGAAACACCTTTAGTGTTTCTCTACGCGTGAATTAACGTGTGATTTAATATCATCTTTATTTAAGTCCTACAACATAGGGAAAGGGTATACCAGGCAAAAATTCGAATAAATGATTTCTAATTAATTCGGAGCTTGTAAGTTTTATTTTCGTAAGTACGAAACTTTTCAGTCTTTTTCTATGGAACGGTTTGCTTCGCTTTTAAGATCCTTCATATGCAACTAAGCACTCGGTTGACAACTGTTAGCCGCCTGGAATAGGACAAAGAAACACGATCATGATTTACTAAGTCTTCTAAACAATGTCTAAAGGTGATTGCATTTAATATGAACAGCAGATATTGCTGGTTGACAGGAATTTGTTGAGCAAAGACCGAAGACAAACTTTCAAGCTTCAGACTACTTTTAAATCATTAACTGGAATTCTTTTTGTGCTATATCCTTCCACGCTGTTGCAAGACTTAAGTGAGCATGATATTAAATCACGCATCAATTCTGGCACCATGTGCATTAAAGAAATACTAGTTTCCTTGCCCCTCCCAGGCTGTGAAAAGGGGTGTCAAACTTGTTACAGAGGCTTCGAATAAAATATATCAACATGAAGCTAGATGGAACTACAATAAGATGTAGATCAGAAAAACCTCATTTCTCAAAGAAATCAAACTCTAAATGTGTAGAAGAAACGAAAAAGGAACCTTAACAATGCAGTAAGTAAAGAATCCTACTTACTTCATTGAAAATTTTAGAAAATAGCTATAAATATAATGTAAAAAATCGGTTAAAATTTGGATGCTTGGTTGAGTAAAATATAGGTGGAATTCGACGTGTAACCATCTTCAAATGGCTTAGTTCCAGGGATGCTCTGATCTATTATAATGAGCGAAGAGGTACACAGTGAAAATTACAAAATATTGGTAAACTTGCTTTTTTTCAAAAACGTTGCGCGAATGTACAAAAGTAAATTATTGATCAGAATTTAATTTATTTAAGGATATTCAAATTATCATATAAGCATATAAAAATTAAAGCGTGTTAATTTTAAGTCCAAGTTTTTCATTGATTTTAAGTGTGATGATCGAACTGCGGATATTATCCGATTTTGAAAAATCTTATGCCCTTTTTATTCTTATTCCAAGTTCCAAGAGGTAACTTCTCCGCACTAAAGTAATCTGAAATTCAAAAAAAAAAAGAAAAAAAAATTTAACCCACTCTATTACATACATCAAATGATGGTAGTTGACAACTTTTCCGCAGTACCGCTAAAAAATTAGATTACTCTGACTTTTTTACCCACCCTACAACACATAGATTAAAAACAAATAGTCTTCCTAGTCTGCAGGTTGACTCTCATTATAACCAAAAATTTAGAAAAATACTATCGTCTTTCTATGGTAATGCACACATAACTCTGTGGCAATAACGAGTACTCTTAACTCTAAGACACACAAATTACACACGTGCCTGTCCCTATAGAAAAAATTGCTACAAACTCATTAACTTTTGTATTTTACAGGGTCAAGTTGCAGAAAGAAAACCCAGATGCAATCATCGGTATTCAGTCTCAACATCTAACACAAGACATGGTGTCACCTATATGTTCCCCCATGGATACTCAGCGTCTTCTGTTTGCACCACAGAGCACATCCACCCCTCCCAAACTACGAACTTCCTGGGATTTGTACAAGAGAGGACCATCCCTCTTCGGATCTACTAAGTACACCCATCTCCAGCAGTACGATGATCCGGGCCCCAGACGATTCAACCCAAACTGTGACTCACCACATCTGAACCGCAGACCACACGACCTCTTGAGAAACGACTCGCTACTAGAGGAAATGAGTTCTTCAGGTGGTGAAGATCAACCTGCCTTTGACGCAACCGTCCTCAGCATCAGCGTCGAGGACCTCAGGTTGGCACTAGACTCTCACTCGACAAACTTACTCAACTCGTTTCGGAAATGCAGGTCTTTGGACGATATCCTTTGGAAGAAAAAGTACCAGCACAGCCCAAGGAGAAAATTTCCGATGAAGTCCGAGCCAAGAATGTCGATTAAAAAACTGCTGGAAGTGGACGATCTGCTGCTGTATTCCATGAGCAAGGAGAAGATCATAAGATCGTGGAAATCAGCTGAAAGGAGACTACTAAACAGGCTTAGGGACGCTATGAAAGAGAAGAGGGAACTTGAAAGAAAGCTTGCTTTTATACAAAAAACTTTAGTTAAGCCTCCTTGAATTTAAATCACTTCTTCTGATGTGTCTTATTCCCCAATTATTAAAAAAAAAAAAAGTTTACGCCCAGTGTTAAAATGGCAACGAATGTGTCAGAAGGAATTCTAGACTTAAGAATTTTTTTCACGATATCTTCTTACAAGTAATAGTTTACTAGCCGTGAAGAAAAGAAGAAGAAAAAAAAAACGTAGAGAGATGAAGAGTATTTAGTTTGCATGATCTTAGCACTAAGAAGGTTTTCAACTCTTTTTCATCAATCATCAGTGCAGTCACAAGTAGATTTAAACTTCAATGAAATTCTCTAAATTTATGACACAAATTATTACTAAATTCAACAAAGCGGTGGTCTTCAAAGAGTATGGCTCCAGAGGTTAAAAGATTGATATTCGATCAACTCTGGAGCATCTAAAGTTATCACATAAGTTATTTAAAAGAAATCTCGCAGACTACCCAGTTAATTCTCTCTTCAAATTAAATGTTGCCTTGACATCGTGAATATTGGGTCTTTTTTCAAAACAGAATAGTGATCATTTTTTAACACAAATATTTTCTAAATGAACTCGAAAAGGTGCGTTATAGAACCAAGCAATTTTTCGTGGTGAAGGGATTTTCGCAACAGCAATTCATTTTTTAATCAATTCGGTCCGCAACATGTTTCACATGACACATAAATGACAAGAGCAGCATAGAGTCATTGGAGAGTTTACTTTAATTCTAAAAATCTAAAAGCAGATTATAAATTGAAATAAATTTGGATCAGAATAATAAATGTGGCACATTTCAAGATTACGAAATGTATGCATCCTATAGGTAGTCAAAGGATACTCTATTTCACACATTAGTTGCATTAGAGTAATTTAAAAAAAATTCTAATGAAGCACTATTCTTTCATATATTTAATTGAATTTCTTATTGAAAACATCAAATTAAAATAGTTTAACTGAAATTGCCTTTATTTTATTGGAAAGGTTTAAAGAACTTAATTAACAGTAGAAAATTGTAACAGTGAAGTTTGTGGACAAAACAAACATAATGATTGTAAAAGGTTCTGAATCAACCCATTAACAATTTAGTTAGTGAGAAAACGTGTACAGAATTTTTTTTTATACCCTCAGGGTGCTCGAAATTTTTCCACAGTATGCAACAATATTCTATCAAAAAACACAAAAGAAAATGTTTTGTTAACTGAAAGAACAGATGATTACTAATTGAATCTTAACATGATCAGGGTGCCGGTTGTTTTCCTGTTGTAGGAGCCAGTACTTTATTAAATAACATAAAATAGTTTTACTTACCAGATGGCCTGTAATCATTGCATGCTATGACACAAACCTGATCAAGATGTCTAGAACATCTTGCATACACTCCACTAAATTTAAAAGTAAAATACTTAGCAAGTTGTACCTTAAATCTAGTCTCATTGCATTCAAGGTGCAAGGATATCAAACTATAGAAGTCATTTTTCGAAATCTAATGAACTATTTTTGATACCCTAGAATTTGCTGTAGTACTTTCCCAAGTAATATTGAAAAGTATAATTAAACATTTAATTGTTATTCTACAATTATCCAAACCACAATTAATTTAAATTATAAGTTTAAATTTCATATCTGCATTTAATGTTTCAAATGTATTATTGAACAAGCTAGCTCTTATGATAAAACTATCAATAACAAGATCATTCTTATCCTTTACCAAAAATGGGAGGCCTAAAAACTGTGCTCTTCTCAAGTTGTTTAATGAGGTATAAAAAAAAAAAATTTCTTCTAGATACAGAAGTGGCTGCAAAAACTTAAGCAAATAAATTATTCTCGAACTTCTCCTGACTAATTTTATTGAATTTTTGTAACCAATAGGTAAATTTTAATTTTTCAGTTATGCTACATTCTTAGATATAAAATGTATTACAAAACGCTTATACTTGCAATTAAGGTTGAAAATGTTTTAAGAAATATTACTTTAACCCTTTCAATACGGCGAAAAATCAGCAGGGGTGAAAGCGAGACGGAAAAGAGGAAAGGCAGGTAGTAAAACCATTTCAGTTATAGCTAGTTTTGGGGAGGAGTTTACTTATTCTTTTTTTTTTAATTTTTCAACAATATCTACTTTATCTTGGAAAAGAAGCAGTTTTATATATATGCCAGAATTATAAAAGAAATCTTGATAGTTACAGATATTTCATTTTTTTCGAAAAAAATGCTGGAATGAAATGTTTTACGTACCAGGTTTTTCTCTTTTCCGTCTTGCTATATAAGGGCTTTCACCCATGGACTGAGACAGCACATGTCCCGTCCGGTGCGAAAGGGTTAAAGTCCAAATTTGTTTTGGAAATATTGACTTAAGTGCCTCAAAGTAATTCATTTTTCCTGACTTTAAAGATATTTTAGATAAATTTCCAGCTCTGTTGCCACCCTGTATCTAGTTAATGGGTTGATTAAAACTAATCATAGGAAACTAAATTTCATATAAGGAGTGAGGGTTTCGGCAACTAAGAGTTCATAATTCGAATGTTATCTAAATATTCTCGTCAGCATAATAGCATTACAATAAATTCACTTTTCTAATGTTTTAAAAACTTAGAACTTTTATTGATATAATTACTTTTTTAGCAATGCTACATAAATTACAGACTGTTCCATTAAGATTTTTTTAGAAAAATCTATTGTTTCTGAGCAGGAAAAAATTTTCAAACTAACACTAAAAATAAATAAACACTTATTTAACTAAATATTTAATCAAAATATTCAAATAGAGAGGTAATTTCTAAGCAAAAAGAATATATAACTTTTTTTTAACTATTTATAACTGCAAAATTTTTAAAATATAGAATATTTTAAATTGAACAATAATACTACAGTTATAGTAGATATTATTTTTTCAAAAATATCTTAGACTGCTCAAATTTTAATATTTGTGCCAAAAAAGAGATATTTTAAACTAATAACTACTATTAACTGCTAAAGATATTTAAAACTAATAATTAGCAATAAGGAAATAAAAGCACAGTTGGAGAAAATATTTTCAAATAATTATTTTAAAAAAATCTCAATAGGCTAATTAGACCTAAAAGGATGATTTATAGTTTTTTTAATTAGTTAGTAAAGGTTTAATGTATTACTTTATCACTTTAATCAAAACATAAGGAATTAAATCAAAACATAAGGAATTTGATTAATAATTTAACTATACTGAATCAATTTGTAACGATACGATTTCCCAGAACATTTTCCTTTGACAATCCAGCAGCAATAGCACCAGGACCAAGAGACATATGCCCTACAGTTGAGAAATATTTACCCTTCTATAAAGGATAAAGTGCTTGTGGCAGGTTACAGAATTGGAGGACTTTCTTTTACCATTCCTGCAGTTCATTGCACCTACTCCTACATACCATTTTTTTTTAATAATAGCAAGACTTATTCGATGCATAAGGTGAAATACAATGGATCTCCAATTACCTCCAATTTTTAGGATTGCGTTATCAAAAAGAAAAAAAAAACCTCTGTCCGGTTGGGGAATCTCAGAACTAGAACAGCACTCAAAAATTAGATTTAAATAGTAAGACATCATTGATAGATTCAAAAGCAAGAAATAATACTGCTTTTGTAGTTTTTAAATTAACAAGCTATGTGCAAAATTTTCATTTTATTTGCAGAAAAGAACTTTTTTCTTTCTTGATAGTTGTTCAAATACAAACTGCTCCTCATTTAATCTAGATAGTTGAAAATATACGATGCAAAAATTCTGAGGATATTTCATTTCCGGAAAATAATCTCTTTTTCGTGCCAATTTGTTCAATTATACTAATTCATTCAGATAATTTAAAATAATTAAGAACTTATCCCTATTAATCAAAATAATTCAAGATATCAGGGACAAAATTTTTTTAATTTAAAAATATAAATCTCAAGAAGAATCAGTTGCAAACATATTGAAACATTAAGCCTTAAGTGATTAAAACTATTTCCTGCATCAATCATATCCTGATTAGAATAATGTCCTTAGAATCTTTATAATACAAATAAAGATCTACTTTACAAACACTCAAAAGATATTTTACAATAAAAAATGCCCTTTTTTTTCTTCCAATTTATTCAATTATCCAAATATAAGTTGAGACAATATTGAGACATTAAATTTCCTTCTGGTGATTAAAAGTATTTCGTTCATCAATTATAAATTATCATTTAGATCCTTAATTTATCTATTAATTATCATTTAGAATCTTTATCAACCTATCTTGTATCTCTCCAAAAAACATTGTTTTCATGAACACTCTGTAAGTAATACCTCACGCCTTATCTACAGTGCAACAGTCACGAATGAAGATATATTGTCCATATGATATGGAAAAGCTTAATCAAGTGATGGCTTTTTTGAAATACTTGTGACCATGGGACATTGTAACCTTGGGATGAAGGTTGAATTCCAACAACTTAGCAAATGTTTCCAAATCGATGGTTTTTCATAACTAAATATACAGTGTGCAAAAATGTTTTTAAAATAAATAAAAAAAATATATGGTATTCAACGATAATGCAAATTTGAAACAAATTTAAAAAGTGATGTTATGAACTAAGAATGTTTTTATAACTTTCATTTACATAGATGATCATTATGATTGCTGATAGTTCATTTGAAAAGAAATAGAAAATACAGTGTTCCTGTATAGATTAGAGCAGGGGGCTCTTAACCCAAGATTAGCTTTGGCATACAGAAAGATTTTGAAATTTAAAATGCTTAAAGAATATACGTAATGTACCCTTCATGAATATTTATAAATATTTCATGACTGTCAATAACGAATATTTAACATAAAATACAACGAAAGTATGTTTTTATATGAATTTAAACATATTAATATGAATTTAAACTTACTAAGTAATAAATTATTCATGGTGGTGAAAATTAAAAGAAAATAATATAAACAAAGAATTATTCAAAATAAATAATTTAGTGTGATTCTTTACTATCAAAAGTTTTTTAATTCCACTACATTTCGTTTCTGATTTATCAGATCAATTTCTCTTTCACACACTTTAAATTTTCCATTCATTAAATTAAGCATATTTAGTTACTGTTAAAACACATTATTTAAGCGTTTTTTTTCCCATACATAAAGAACATTGGCAAAACCAATAAGAATGTAAAAAGAAAAATAATAAAATTGAATCG